AAGAAGGGCAAAGCAGGGTCCCTTAAACACTCGACATCAGGGAGCCCCAGGTCTGAGGTGCTGAGCCCAATGTGGCCAAGGTGTGGTTGAGAACATAGGACCTGGAATCAACAAGAAGCAATACAGATTCTGTATGCCGCTTGCGGCAGTGCTGGCTGCCTTAGTTTCCTTCTCTGTCAAATGACAGCAGCAGTAGTCTCGGTCAGGCTAAAGGACTTTCCAGAGGTACAAGGCACTTTATCTCAAGCTTGGGCTTCTGTGGGCTGTCTGCTTCTTTTCCTGTCTTTGTTTCTGAGACAGGGTCTCTGTAGTTCAGGTGTCCTCTGACTAGTGGTCCACCTGCTGTAGTCTCCTTAGTGCTGAAGGGGCTGAAGTTCTACTACACCCAGCCAGGGTGAGCCTCTCTGAAAGTCTGTCGGCTGGGAGGCTGCTGTCACTCAAAGGGCTTGTAAAGACACCTTGAGCCTCCACTGAAGGCCATAGTAAGCACTGGGAGGGAACATCTGTGTGTGAGAGCACCCTGACTTTGTTGTCAGGCTCCTCCTACTGAGCCTGCTGTGCTGGCTCTGCACGCTGGGACATGGCATTCCAGTTTTGTTTAAGGTAGGATGTTTGATGCCCAGGCTGGCCTCAAACTCACATTTTGCCTCTACTTCCTGAGAGCAGGATCACAGGCCTGCATTCTGTGCTGGATGCTTGGTTAGAAAGCTCATTGGCAGAGACTCTCGGTCACCTGGGAAGTGTTTGTAATCGGCAGGTGTTCACAGGACACCTGGTATACAGCAGGCACTCCATATGTGCTCATTAATTCTCTGCGAGGCCTTGAGGACTTTGGGAAGAAGTGGGAGAGGAGAAAGCTGGGAAGGGTCCAGGATTCTGGAGTATTCCCCCCCGACCCCGGTCTGGCTGATGGTGGGGTTGAGGTGTTGGAATGTCCCTGCCACCCACAAGGGTGCTTAAGTGTCGTCTCTGGAGCCTGCTGAAAAGCCAGCTTTGCTACTAAAGCAATTGCATTTGATCAGATGGACACTGCTCTGCTCTGCAGGTTCCTCAGGGGTTCCTCCGGTGGTCACCATCTGGGGCTGTTCAGGATGACAAGTAGTTCCTGGAGAGGCAGGAAGCTCTTTTGACTCAGGGATCCCCCAATGGTCAGGGTGCTATGTGTATTGTTTCTCTTCCAGCCTCTCCCTGGGCTTGACCAAGGCTCTGTTCCCATTTCCCATCATGCAGTGGGGCTATGGATCCCATGCTGTCTCAGGATTAAAGGGGGCTGCTCTGCTTTCACCCCTACAGGACTGAGAGTCTCTAGACAAGGAAGGCAGAGCGGTTGGGTCTCCATTGCACATCCTTAAACGCCAGTTCAGGGCTTTGTTTCTGACTGTGAGGGGCGATGGGGACATATCGATCACTCTATTTTCTTGTGGAGACAGCATTCAGACCCCATCTGTTTTATTACCAGACTTTCCCGTCTACCTTCTTGGGGTCTCCATCTTCCCTTTTATTTTTCCAGAACTCAACCTGGCTTGCTTGAGCTCAAAGTATCTTGGTGCATATGAGGTGGGAAAGTGGATATTGGACCAGGCCACCAAGCTGCCCAAGGCTCTGACTGCTCTGACAGCTCCCTAACCCTCGCTGCATGCATGGCCTGGTTTATCTTCCAGGACGCCTGGGGCCTTTCATCCCTGAGCCAGCGGGAATGTGTCAGGAGCCATGGGCAGCAATGCCACGCTGGCCTGACTTCTGAGTCTTGGAGCTCTTGGACGGGACCCAGGTCTTGCCATCTGGGATTTCCCCTTGTGCCTGAGGCCAGCAGGAGCTGAGGGGCCCAGGGACTGGACCTGCTCTGCCTGCAGGGCCTGTGGGCCACGTTCAGGGTGGCTGAGCTACAGAGGAAGCAGTTGGCACTTTGAGTGGCTCAGCCTGAGATACAGTGTGACTTTGTAGAAGTCATGTTGGCGCTCCAGACCCACTTCCTCGTCTCTCCCTGATGGATGGTGGCGACAGTTAAGGTCATGTCCCTAGGGTGCCTGGCATGATGCAGCCATAGTGACTGCCAGGTTCATCACTGTTGGTATGTGCTAGACCTGGTGGGTGGAAGGCTGGGCACCAGCCCGGGAGGAGAGGGAGGTGGAAGCTTTTGGTATGGGTGGCACAGGAGAGAGGTTGTGAGGGGTGGGCGGGGTTTGCCTCAGAGGGAAGGTAAAGCCATGAAGAGGGTATGCTTGCATATAGCAAGAAGCTTAGTGTGCACCAGGACAAACAGGAGATTCAGGCAGTGAACTCACAGAGATCAGAATTCCGAGGTCTTGGGTGTCAGGTCATGGGGAACCATGGAAGGCTTTTGAGCAGGAAAGAGACATGAAGAGATTAACCTGGAGGGGACAAACTTGTTTGGGGGCAAGAAAAGACAGGTATAGTTGTACATTTAGGGTTGCCTCAGGAGCTGGCTACTAGCCACCAAACAGGACCTCATGTAGGCTGAAATGGCTTCAGACTCATTATGTAGCTGAGGATGGCCTTCATATCTCTGTCTCTCTGTCTCTCTGTCTCTTTCTGTCTCTCTGTCTCTTTCTGTCTGTCTCTTTCTGTCTCTCTCTGTCTCTGTCTCTCTCTCTCTCTAGTTTTTTGACACAGGTTTCTTTGTGTACTCCTGGCTGCCCCTGTAGACCAGGCTGGCCTCCTGTAGACCAGGCCGGCCTTGAACTCAGGTTCTTCTGTCTCTGATGGAATTAAAGGGCTAAAGCTCCTGCCCTGGGACTTTCAACTCTCAATCCTCCTGCCTCTGCCTCCCCAGTGCTGGGATTACAGGTGTGTAGCGTTACACCTGGCTAAATCTGTTCCCCTTTGTATCTCATTTAGTTTATCAAGGAGCCTGAGGATTCAGTGCCTGGCATCACACGGGGCTCACCAGAGAGGCAGGAGCCAGAGCTGCAGCCCCAGGGAGTCAGGGGCAGTATTGCAGACACAGGACAAAGGGCCAGGAGGGGACACTGGCCAAGGAACCCAGTAGGCCTGATGTAGACAGACCCCAACCACATGATCCAAAGAGGAACCTTGACTTTCCCTACCTGTGAATGGGTCTGTCAGGTGCACTTGGGCCTGGGTCTCCAGGAAGGACAGAGGCAGCAGAAACTGGGCTATGAGAGGGAGGTGGGGGGTGGGGGAGGGGATCAAGGGGATCAGGGATGCTCGCTGGTAATTAGAACGTTTGAACTTCAAAAAAGTTAATTAATGACAAAGCTACTGCTGGAGCAAGGCTGGGACTCAAAGGGGGCCTGGCAGCGATTAAAATTAATTACAGGCTATGGCGGGAGAGTGGCAGCCAGGCCAGGGACAGGAAGGAGCAGGGCAGGGACAGAGGCCATGGAAGGCAGCTTTCAAGGTGAGCAGGGTCTGGGGAGCAGAGGGGGCTGTTGCCATGGAAACTAGGTCAGTTCTTTTAGCAGGCAGGAGGGGCCCAGTCCACTGTGGTTGACATCTGGCTGTGGTGGGCTGGTGTGGCTTCATGGAGCTAGGGTTGAGCTGGTGTGGCCAGGGCCTTGAGAGAAACTCATGTATTCACTCAGCAAATCTTGGTTGAGTGTCTCCATGCTGTTCTGGTTAGAGCTGAGAGTGTGAATCCCAGGGACCCAGACTCTGCTCAAAAGTGGGCGGAGACAATGAGCCTTAGGTGGTTTAGAGATGCTTGAGTCAAGCTGGAGGGCTGGTGGGGCTGAAGAGGTGGGTGGAACTGCCTGAGACCAGACAGGAAAAGCAGGCCTCTGCAGGCTGGAGGGAGGCGGTCACGGGAAGGCGAGGAGGTCTTGCTGGCCAGCTTTGGGGAGGGCTTCTGAACTTATGCCAAGAGAAGCTGGGAGCCATAGCAGGCCCTCTGCGAAGAGGGGAGGGGACCATTTCCCTGCTGTTTTTAGTGACTCATACGCTCTAAGGAGTTGAGACAGCCTCTGTGGACCTGTGAGGTGTCCCTTAGCTCCAGTGAGGAGCTGATGTGTACTTACTTGAGACCCCAGAGCCACTCACGGCAGGGACTGGAGTTCATATGCAGGCCCTGGTCTCTAGCACTGCTGGCTGCTCTGACAGCACACAGCAGCTCTGTACCCAGATGCTACATGCTGGAGTCAGGGACAGGAGTATGAGTACAGCTGGTGGCAGGGGCTATCAGTCTCCTACCTGGTAGATGAGAAACTACTAGAAGGGAATGAGTCATCAGACAGGCTCCTTTGTCTGGCAGTTCACCCCTGAGTCTGACCTCAGTCATTTATGCTGTTGTGTGGTTTCACTTCTTTTCAATGCGATGCACTTTTTGGGGCACAGCTCTCCTTAGACCCCAAGGACTTGCATAAGAGAGGAGAGGCCATTTTGGGGGATATGAACAGGCTTCAGCTTTCTTGGCTATATCATGACAGCTGGCGGCGGGGGGGGGGGGCTGTGAGTGACACAGCCCCAAGATCCCTTTGAATTTTGAGCTCTCCCTTTGGGTAGATTGAGATCCACAAGAGTGGATGGGGTCAGTCATGGCCTAGGAGGGGTTGCTAGCAGGGAGGTGGGTACTTAGGAAGTTCTCCTTGGTCTGGGCTGTAGGATCTCTGTATCCTGCTGGTGGCTTGTGACTGAGTGAAGGACTGATTTCTAGATGCCCTGGCTCCAGGAAGCATGGAGCCTCTGCAGAGGGATGGGAGGGGGAGAAGAGAAGGCTGGCATCAGAGCTATCGAGGCTGGGGACCTTTCTGGGAGCCACTCCTTCCTGAGCGGGACCAGAAGCATCCTCCAGTGGATGCTTCAGTGGTTTGGTTTGGTTTGATTCCTTGCAGGGTGTGGCATTGGTGTGGGACTGGCCAGCTGCACAGTCTTTGAAAAGTCAGACCTGGGTCGTTGAGGGGTCCACAGTGGTGAGGGTGGGGGGCAGAAATGGACTGTGTATCTGTTCCTGGGGTGTCATATTCAGGAGTGTAGCTAACCCTAGGCCACACTGCCACCAGTTTGTCCTTGACTCCATGTACGTGGTTCGAGTGTGTGAGCATGTTGGTCATCCTGCTGAACTGTGTGACCCTGGGCATGTACCAGCCATGCGACGATATGGAGTGCCTGTCAGACCGTTGCAAGATCCTGCAGGTGAGCCTCTCGGTTGTCCCCTTCCTCCCTCCTATCTGATGTCCTCTTCCAAGCTCAGGGCACTGTTGTGGTACAGCTCCTCACCATCCTGACTAATTGCCCCTCCGGCCATCTTTGCTTTCCCAGCTGAGGCTCCTCACCCCATCCCACTCACAAAGCCAAGCGCAGTGGCTACACTTCTCTGCCAAAGCCTGCCTTGGCTTCCTAGTCCCCCCTCCCCTGTGGCCTCTTGCATCTCTCCCATCCCCTGAAGTGGGTCCTGATGCGGCATCTGCGTGGTTTTGGGCATAGTTTGAAGGACTATAGAGTAGGGCTCTGGGGATACATCCAGTTTACAGGAGTAGAATATTTGATGCCCATCCCTGGGAGCCAGACTCGAGTTTCATTTTAATCCTGGCATAGAGTTCTGTGTGACCCAGGGCAAGGAACTTGACTTCTCCAGTCTTGTTTCCTTAGCGGTAAAGTGGGCTACCCCATGTGTGCCATTGCGAGAGGGATCATGAGGGAGCCTGGTGCTCAGCCCCAGGGTCCTCGCTGTGAAAAGTCTGAGTGGACAAGGGCCTCTGAGGTTCTCTTCCAGTCCCACGTTTGACCTCAGAGTGGCTCTGACTTCCACTCTTGCCCTGTCAGAGTTCACTCCACCCTGTCCTGTCTTCCTCCTACTCCAGGTCTTTGACGACTTCATCTTCATCTTCTTCGCCATGGAGATGGTGCTTAAGATGGTGGCCCTGGGCATTTTTGGCAAGAAGTGCTATCTCGGGGACACATGGAACCGCCTGGATTTCTTCATTGTCATGGCAGGGTAGGTAACGATCTGGGTTTTGATGCGTGTCAGCTTCCATATAGCTAACCGAAGAAGGGCTTCTGGGAGATGGTGGTGATGCCATTTGAGAATAGAGGGCCTCTGGCCAGGGGAAGGAGAGACAGTGCTTTCTGTAGATGGGCCTACACAGACAGCTGTCCCTTCTGGTGGCCGCTGTAAGCATCTGTTGTGCGATGGGCAGCTTAGACTGAGTGTTTTATGCTGATTAATTGGATGCCTTTGAGAAAGTCAATTAACTTTGAGAAGTCTCCATTTTCCCATCTGTAAAAATAGGAATAAAGATATCAACCAGATCAAAATGAGCATCAAGAAGTGCTGGCTGTCAGCAGCAGCAGCAGCAACTACAGTACTGCCACCACCATTAACATCATTGTCACTGTCATCACCATAACCATTGTCACTGTCACCATCACTACCATAATCATTGTC